CTGGCCTCAAACTCCTGGACTCAAGCGATCTGCCCGCCTCAGCCTCCCAAAGTGCTGGGATTACAGGCATGAGTTGGGGATTTGAGTGATAGAAAATTGGCTGAGTTTCAGATCTGCTGCAATGGAGATGACTGTAATGATTGTAGGTAGCAAGATAGCTGCTATTATAAATGTTCATTGACCTCGAGCAACTGTACAGCCACACTTTTATTTTCTGTAATTGCCACTTACACTATATCTTATACTTCTCAAAGCTTCAATGCTTCCATTTAAGTTATCTCAATTGATCATGAAATAGGTGGAGCAGGTATTATTCTCATTTTACCGATAAGGAAATAACCCCAAAGAGATTAAGTGACTTAGCCAAGGTTCTGGGGAAGAGCTGTCATTTTGTTCCTGTTATCTGGGTTTAAAATATTGGAATCACCTTGGACTCATCTCTCTCTTTTTCTATTGCTGTATCCAGTAAAGCACCAATTCCTACAGGTTGTTTCTACAAAGTGTCTGTTTCCATTTCTTCCTCTATACTTCCTGTCAAGCAGGAAGTTCCCACCATCCAGGTTTGAGACTTCATCATTCCTTGCCTGAATTACAACTGATAAGCAGAACTTGCAGATGCTATGCTTTCCTCATTCCAGTCCAGCCTGTATTCTCCTTCTAGACTGAACGTCCTTAAATGTCGCTTTCACTATGCTCAGAAATCTTCATGATTCCCTTTCCTTTTACATTTAATTGAAACTCCTCAACCAGGATTTCAAAGCTCTCCTTAATCTGAATTCGCCTTTTCCAGTCACCTACTCAAAACAGGTCTTTGGAAATAAAAATGGCTAATACACACATGAAAAAATGTTCAAAGAAATACAAATTAAAACAATCATTTTCATCTATCAAATCAGCAAAGTTTTGTGTTTTTTATTTTTTAGACGATACTGATCATTCTCCACTCTTGCTATTTATTTCCCTTCTTATGAAAATACGCATGTTATTACCCTCATAATTTGTCTCCATCCCTCAGATCTTTTGTTCATACTTAATTCATTGTTGTCTCCCCTGGTTTCTCTACTACCTTAATCTGTTGATGCTCACTTTGTAATTCCCCAAAACTAGAATTTGTAGGCAAGGATTTCTTTTGCTTGACAGTTCATCACCAGTATCTAGAATAGTGTCTAGGGCATAGTAGGAGCTAAAAAAAATTTGTTATATAAATGAACAAACTGTGTTTTCAGAAAATACACTTTAGAAAGACTAAAGAAACAACATTTGGGAGGTGAGACTGTAGGTGTTTGGAGTTTGTGCGTCTCCTTCCTTCCTTCCTTCCTTCCCTCCCTCCCTCCCTCCCTCCCTCCCTCCCTCCCTCCCCCCCTCCCTTCCTTCCTTCCTTCCTTTTTTGAGATGGAGACTTGCTCTGTCACCCAGGCTGGAGTGCAGTGGCACCATCTCGGCTCACTGTAAGCTCCACCTCCCGGGTTCAAGCGATTCTTCTGCCTCAGCCGTCCGAGTAGCTGGGACTACAGGTGCAAGCCACCATGCCCAGCTAATTTTTGTATTTTTAGTAGAGCTGGGGTGTCACCATATTGGCCAGGCTAGTCTCAAACTCCTAGACCTCGTGATCTGCCCACCTCAGCCTCCCAAAGTGCTGGGATTACAGACATGAGTCACTGCGCTCAACTGTTTACATTTCTTTAATTGGCAAATAATAATAATTATATATATGGATGGGGTACCGTGTGACGTTTTAATGTTAATACATGTATACAATGGGAAAGATCGAATAAGCCTGATTAGCATACTCATCACCTCAAATATCATTTCTCTGTGGTGGGAACACTTCAAATCCTCCCTTTTAGCTATTTTGAAGTGCGCATTATTTTTAACTGTTGTCACTTTGCTGTGTAATAGAATGCCAGAACATATTCCTCTTATCTAACTGTAACTTTGTACCCAGTGACCAATATCTTCTCTTTCTGTATCCAACTCTCCCCACCCCAGCCTCTGGTAGCCATCACTCTACTCTTTATATCTGTGAGTTCAACTTTTTTAGATGCCACATATAGATGAAATCATGCAGCATTTGTCTCTCAGTGCCTGGCTTATTTCGCTCAACATAATGTCCTCTAGGTTCATCCATATTGTCATAAATGACAGAATTTCCTGTTGTTTTTTAAGGCTGTAGTATTCCATTGTGTATATACACCAGATTTTTAAAATCTATTCATCCATTGATGGACACATAGGTTGCCTCCATATCTTGGTTCTTGTGAATAATGCTGCAATAAACATGGGAATGCAGACATCTCTTCAGCATACTGATTTCAATTTCTTTGGATAGATAACCAGTAGTGGGACTGCTAGATCACATAGCAGTTTTCTTTTTAGTTGTTTGAGAGGCTCCATATGGTTTTCCAAAATGGCCGTACTAATTTATAATGCCACCAACTATGTATAAGGGGACCCTTCTCTCCACACCCTCGTCAACACTTGTGATCTTTAATCTTTTTGATAATAGCTAATCTCATAGGTGTGAGGTGCTACCTCATTTGTTTTTTTCTTTTTTTTTTTTTTTTTGAGACAGAGTCTCACTCTGTCACCTAGGCCAGAGTGCAGTGGCACGATCTTGGCTCACTGCAACCTCTGCCCCCCAAGTTCAAGTGATTCTCCTGCTGCAGCCTCCTGAGTAGTTGGGATTACAGGCATGCGCCACCACACCCCGCTAATTTTTGTATTTTTGGTAGAGATTGGCTTTCATCATGTTGGCCAGGTTGGTCTTAAACTCCTGACCTCAGATGATCCGCCCACCTCGGCCTCCCAAAGTGCTGGGATTACACGCGTGAGCCACTTGCACCTGGCCTCATTTGGTTTTGATTTACATTTCTGTGATTAGAGATGGTGAGTATTTTTTTTTTCATATATCTACTGGCCATCTGTCTTCTTTTGAAAAATGTCTATTCAATTTCTTTGCCCATTTTTAAATAGGATTATTGGTTTTCCTGTTACTGAGTGAGTTCCTTGTATATTTTGGATATTGGCTCCTTATCTGATGTATGATTTACAAATATTTTTCCCAATCTGTTGGTTGTCTCTTCACTCTATTAATTGTGTCTTTTGCTGTGCAAAAGCTTTTTAGTTTGATGCAATCCCATTTGCCTATTTTTGCTTTCATTGCCTGTGCTTTTGGGGTCATAGCCAAGAAATCTCTTCCCAGACCAATATCATGGAGTTTTTCCCCCAAATTTTCTTCTAGTAGTTTTATAGTTTCAGGTCTTACATTTAAGTTTTTAATCCATATTGAGTTCATTTTTATATAAGGGATAAGAGAAGGGTCCATTTTCATTTTTCTGTATGTAGATATCCAGTTTTCCCAACACCATTTATTAAGGAGACTATCCTTTCCCCATTGCGTGTTCTTGGCACCTTGTCAAAAATCAACTGACCATAGATCTTTGGGTTGATTTCTGGGTCCTCGCTTATTCCATTGGTTGATGAATCTGTTTTTATAACAGTACCATGCTGTTTTGATTATCATAGCTTTGTAATATTACATTTTCTTTTTTAAAGCTTTCAAATGTTTCTCAAGTTTTCTATATTAAGTACATCTTTCATAATCAGGAGAAATACACAAACTATTTAAACTAACGAAATACAGCCTATAGTCTGGCCAGGCCTGTTTTATCACTATCCTGGAACAATTACTCAATCCTGTTTATTTCTACATCATGCCATTTCTCATGCTTTCCTTTCTCACTTCACCTCCGACAATCTTTCAAACCTCAACTCGAGGCCCACCTCTTCTATGCAGCCTTCCCCAAGTGCACCCTTCCTTACTGATCTCCTTCCCTGTGCCAGACTTTCCACTTAATTAGTTATACTGTGCTACATTCACTCATTCTCATTCATTAAATATTTTCTATTTGCTGGCTTGTGTGTGTGAGTGTCTGTGTTGAGCATGTGAGGGAGAGAGAGAATGTATATGTGTGTGTTTGGTATGAATTAATTTTTCCTTCTCAACAGATACCATGTCTTAGCTTGACCACATCTTAGCCTGCTGTTTTTTTGGTAACATGAACTGATGGCAGAGTAAATGCTCAACAAACACTTGGTGATAGTACAAGGTATTGAAGCTTCAAGGTCTTGAAGCCTTTCAGGGGTCTGAAAATTCTTGGGGCTCCTTCTACTACACAATGCTCTGTAGTAACCCTTAAGCTTACATTTACTGAGCACTTACTAGGTGCCATGGGCTTGCCATTTATTTTTTCATTTATAGAGTAAGAATTACTTTCATTTTTATTTTAAGATTAAGGAAACTGAAACTTAGAAAGATCAAGTAACTTGCTTAAGTGACAAAGCTTGAAGCGCTAAGGCACGGATTAAAACACAGCCCAGGCAAGCTCGTTATCACTAGGCTATATTGACTCACCAGGCTTTATGACAAATGAAATATTATTTCCTTTGACCCATATGCCACAAATGTGCTTTCAGTCAAACTGCATGCTCTTGGTGAAGTTACTTAACCTCACAGAATCTCAGTTTCCTCGTTTGTAAGAGGAAGACATTGTTAGCTGACAGACTGGTTGTAAATGTCAAGGTACGAAAGTGTGTCACGTAATGCCGAGCACATAGAGGGCGTTGAGTCAATGATAGTTGTTATTATTAGATATGCTGCCTTCTTGATATCTGCAACTTTCAAGCTGGGCATGGCAGCTGCCTCGCGTTTCTTTCTACAGGGTGGGTGGATCTGCATCTCCGAAGCTGAGGATCACAGCTCTGCTGGGTGGAGAAGGTGCTATTAGAAAGCTTGTAAAAAAAAAAAAAAAAAAGAAGGAAAGAAAAGCAAAAGAAAGCCTGGACCCAGAGAAAACAAATAATCAACCCTGCCCCAGGTTCACTAGAGCTCGGATTTCCTTGTCTGAATGCATAATGATAGGAAGAAGGCTGTGTTACAGAAGTAGCTGTTTTTTGTTTGTCATCCAGGCCCACTAATCTAAACATCTCACACTCCTCAGGAATTATTTTAGGACCAGGAAGCAGCACGCTGTTTATTGAAAGAGTCACAGAAGAGGATGAAGGTGTCTATCACTGCAAAGCCACCAACCAGAAGGGCTCCGTGGAAAGTTCAGCATACCTCACTGTTCAAGGTAAACAGCTGCTTAAGAAAGCAACAAGAAATTGGTCAGACATCTATTTCCCTGTTTGTTTAACTTTCCACCTCCCAGTCTCCTGCTGCCCACTCCAGTCTGTTCCTTTCCCTGACCTCCTTCTCCCCTCTCCCTGCCACTCCGGGAAGGGACTGTCTGGTTCTGTCTGGCACAGCAGAAGGTGAAGACACTGGCTGGCCATCCTTGAGAGCCCAAAATCTGAACGCGGTGTCTGTGGGAGAAGTCGTTCCCAGAAGAAAGGAAACCCAGTTCTGACCGTGTGATGATGCCCTGCCACAGAGAGTGGCCAGAGTAGTCCACACCTGTGAGAGAGACGTCCAAGAAGGAAGAAAAGGGAGGGGGTAGGTGAGGAGGGGGAACTCGCACACTTAAAATTGTTCATTTGTTTTCCTTTTCTAATTCCCAGGAGTTAGACATATGCTGCTATTCCAAATGCTTTAATAAGCTGGCTTTTAAAATGAAGTGTGCTGTAATATTTTATCAGAGAGAAGCAACACGTAATCAACAGACCACATTTAAGAAAAATATTCCAAGTGCTTCCTCTTTATAGGTCTCAGACAGTTTGCTCAGCAGCAAAATACAAAGAGGCCTAATCCTGCCCTGGCTATGGCCATGTGGCTTACATTTGGAAAACAGTTTCGACCTCAATTTCAATTCTCTAATGCTAAGAATCATCCAAAACATAAAATTTACAACATCATAAAATATCAGATTGGCACCTCTTAGATGTAAATATCTATGGCATATTGAGGTTTGACGTGAAAAGATGGAATTTGTTCAGTAGCCTATTTCCAAATGCTAACCAGTCGACTTCAGAATATGCAAGTATTTTGTGGGGAGGAACTAGGAAGAAGGCAATGTAATTCAGTTTTTTTCCCCCTGAAACTTACATTGCTTAAATATTTTAACTCTGAGAATTCAAACCCCTTTAAAACAGAACATCATCTCTATTCTTTTACAAGGAGATGATTTAAAGAGCACCCTGAAAGTCTGAAACTGCTCTGCCACAAATTTATACTTCCAGAAAAACTGAGAGGGTAGCATTCCCCAAATACCTTTAGTAATGGTTTTGTCTCCCAAATAATCCTTGTTCTAAAATATTATGTTCACTTTTCTGTTCGCTCATACAGAAACAGTTTATTAGCATCTCTGTTTAACACCTTCTTCCCCACATGGCTGCTAATCTGTCTTTTAACAGGCACCCCAGACATACAGCCCTCAGGAATGGCCATGTTGGGCCAGGGAACACAGAGAGCAAGGAGACCTCACTAATCCTCAGAGCAAATGTCATTTCCCCCATATCCTCCCAACAACCCCGTGAGATACACAGAGCAGTGATAAACCTCCAGAGAGGTCTGAACTGACTCAACTAACAGTCTAGTCATGGCAGACCGGAGGAGAAAACTGAGCTTTTCTCAGACTCACCTCCCCTCACCCCATGACTGCCTTCCCCTGTGCCCACCCCTCTACCAGGGAATATGGGGCAGCAATGGCTGGACTCTGATGGCCTGGGAGGAGCCTGGGTGTGAAGCAGTGCTGTTTTTGCGTGTTTGTAGTTCTCCCCAAAGTCTTGACTTCCTTCCCTTTTCTGCCAGGTTAATCTGGGTTTCTCAGAAGCCAGTGTGCTTAAAATTGTGCATTTACGACATCTGTGAGTTTCTTCTCCCCACCTTCAGAACCACCACCCTTCTGGTCGCCAGCAGTCTGCTCTGCAGGAGGCCTGCTATTATTCTTTCACTGCTCCAGGCCAGATCAGCAGCACCGGGGGGCCTTCCAGATTGGATTAGAGTCAGTCTTTTGGCCATTGGTGAGCTCGACTTGCCACATAACGCCAAGCATGGCCTCTGTTTGTGATGTTAGTGCATCCTGGAATTTCTTTTGTACAGGCTCCATTCCCTATTCCAGCCAAATCCTTCTTGTGCTCTCAGGCCAGCTGAAATGCTTTCTGCCCTGGACTATCCTCCAGGATGAACAGCTGAGGCAGATACTCATTCTCTGCTCTCTCACTCCCTACTTCTGGAATCATTAGTCAGTACTTATTTTATTCTGCCTTTTATTATTATTTTGGCGTTGATATGCTTCTCTTCCCTACCGAATTATAAACTTTTGAGACAGTACTGTCTGACATATCTTTGTATCCCATACACATGCCCAGCACTTAGCACATTTATTTAGTACCTTTATGTGCAGGCACTGTGCTGGACACGTGACATACTTAATCCTATTAACCTTGTAAGAATTTGAAGCAGTCAATAGTAGTATCTTCAGTCTACAGATGGGAAGACAGAAGCTCAAAGAAGTTAAATAACTTGCCCAAAGTTGCACAAAGACTACGTGGTGAGGCTGAAACGTGAGTCCATGTAAACCTCAGAATATTTTCACCGTTGCTCCACTCTTCTCATTCCTGAGGTGCCTGAGGAAGTTGTCTGCAAGGACTTAGGATAAAATTGAGCAAAAGCACTCTTCTAGTGATCCTGTTATTTTTATTTTCTCCATTTCTCTTATGTTTACATGCCTCTAGACTTCCTACGCTGATTCCTTTTCTCATTAATGTTATGCTTCTCTGAAAAGTCAGATGTTAAGAATACTGCATTACTGATCATTTCTTTTTTTTTTTTTTTGTATTTTTTTTTTTAGTAGAGACGGGGTTTCACCGTGTTAGCCAGGATGGTCTCGATCTCCTGACCTCGTGATCTGCCCATCTTGGCCTCCCAAAGTGCTGGGATTACAGGCTTGAGCCACCGCTCCTGGCCCTACTGATAATTTCTAAACCTTTCTGTTAGCCATATCATTTACTCTTGTGAAAAGTGGAGGTAATTTTCACTTGAATTGCCCATATTGGTTGCCACATATATATAATATATGGCATATATAATGGAATATGTAAACATATATTCCATTCTGTTGTTCATTATTGCCCCCAACTGCCATGATTTTGAACTCTGTGTCTGCTTGTTGTAGTTTGTTGGCCTTCTCCTTTGCTCTCTTTTGTAAGAGTGATGGCTATGTCCAACCTTTTTTGCTTAAAAATTGTAGTTAGCTGAAAACATGGACTATGTGATTGGCAATCACCCAGCCACACCTGAAATATTGTGCCCATTTATAAAAGAAACAAATAAGTAGAGCTATATCCTGGATAGGAATAGGATAGTGCCAGAAAAGAGGATACTTAGTCCAAAAAAGAGACAACATGAGGGTAACAAGATTGTTGTCTTCAAATACTTAAGGAGCTTTCGGACAGAAGAGGCATGTAACCCATTCTTTGACACACCAGAAAAGATAACTAGAACCAAGCGAAGGGAGATGGTAGTGAAATCTCCAAGAGGCAGGTTTCAAGTCTATATAAGAATATAATTTTGCACAGGAAGAAATTTTGAATGTTAATAGTATGTGGACCTTAGAAAGGCTTGCATGTATGAGTCCGATGCAGTGTCTTGAATGGAAGTAGTTTGGGTTCACTGGATTAAAATTTGATCCTGGGATGCCGTTCACAACAGCTGAATACGGTACCTGCTCAGTAATTTTATAATTGAAATGGGACTCTTCTTCTAGAGTCATTGTTCTTACCACCCTGGTAGCTAAGAAACATTCCCTAGATTTAGACTTTATTTCCTGTTAGATGCATATGGACCCTCACACTGACCTATCTTGTCAAATTGAGTTTAGGAAATGAAACCAAGCGAACAAGTTGTGTCTGTGGCTATGTTTAACAGATTTAAAGAGGTTGGTGAATTAGCCAGGAAGGAAACTGTCTGCTCTTTTTATTTCCTTTGAAAAAGGATTCTTATACCCACAGATAAAACAATGTGTTATTTTTGTATCTGTAAAGGATGAATGAACTGTGGAGTCAAAGTACCTTCTTTAAATAATCACAGGTCTTGTTTGGTTTGGACCTAGCGCCAGCACGAGGACACATGAAGCGCTCAAAGGGGAAATTCCATATCAAAACCGACAACAGAAGTGTTAGTAACCAAAATCATTTCTGAAATTAACATAGCGCTCAATAGCCCCGGAACTCAATGGGGCTGTTACAATTTCATCCAAGGACTTAAGCTATGCTTTATAATTATTATTGCAAATAACCACAATATATATAAGGACATTCTTTTTTTATTTTTTATTTTTATTTTATTTTATTTTATTTTATTTTATTTTATTTTATTTTATTTTATTTTATTTTATTTTATTTTATTTTATTTTATTTTTTGAGACACAGTCTTGCTCTGTCAGCCAGGCTGGAGTGCAGTGGCACGATCCCGGCGCATTGCAACCTCTGCCTCCCGAGCTCAAGCAATTCTTCTGCGTCAGCCTCCCGAGTAGCTGGGATTACAGGCGTGTGCCACCACGCCTGGCTAATTTTTGTATTTTTAGTAGAGACAGGGTTTCACCATATTGGCCAGGCTGGTCTCGAACTCCTGACCTCAGGTAATCCACCCACCCCCACCTCCCAAACTGCTGGGATTACAGACGTGAGCCATTGCGCCCCGCCAAGACCATTCGTATATCAGATTTAGGCCTTACTATATTTCAGTATCATTTATAAGTACATAGGAGAAGACAACTTGAAGAAGAACAACTATCATTTTAAGCATTTTTTAAAGATGATTGACGGATATAAAAATCACAAAAGCACCAAAAGGACTATGTCAGGGTCCTGCAGTCTAAATGCTGGTCATGGCATTAGAGGCTGATATGCAAACGATTGCACATTGTCACTTGCTTGAGAAAGGACTCATCCAGTAGAAAGTAGACACTACGTTCCCTAATAAATTAAATTCCAAAAGTCAAGAATAGAAAAAACTGAAAACAATATGGCCGTGGGTCTTCAGTCACTCCTTTGTATTGTCCTTGGCCAGCTATCAGTTTTCGGTTCTCCATTTTGACCTTCCTCTGATCCCTGACTGACCTCCTTCCACGTTAGCTCCTCTCTTCCTGAATCCTGCCCCCAAATTCACTCCTATGACTATCCTGGCAGTGAG